CTCACCCTAAGACTTTAACACATACTATTCACCATGTTCTATTTCAATGTCTAGAAAGTGTAATGTTTTAAAAAAGATTTCCCTAAAGAAAGAGTTAAAATTTTACTGCCGCCTACTTAAAGGATGGACTTCCTAGTTAGCAAGAAAAACCCCAGCTATCCAGCCCATCTCCCAAAGTCAGCTGTGATCTTATTTTACATAGCTCTATGTGATGCAATTTTTTTTTTTTTTTTGTGGACTGATACGACCATAAAATTCTGAGTTTCCAACGAGGGCAAAAACAAAGGGTTATATTGAAAATCTTTTAGTAATGTTAGGACAGGGGCTACAACCAGAAAACATTGGTCTTCTTGGTCTTCATAGCCAATTAGGTGGATCAAGACTGTGCTAATCACAGTCGTCTTCTTGACAGCTTTGCAGATTCTTGCAGGCAAGAAGGTAAGTGACCCATTGACACACCTTGTGATTTAGGCTACTCCAATGCCAACTCTTCCATGAGGTACTCTCTGACCCTTAGACTGGAAGCAATTTTTTTTTTCTTCATTTAACCAGAAAAATATCTCTATGAGAGTTTTTTTTTTTTTTTTTTTTTTTTTTTCTTCATTTAACCAGAAAAATATCTCTATGAGAGTTTTTTTTTTTTTTTTTTTTAATTTATTGTGAGTTGGGTGAAAGTTTATAGAGCAAATTTGTTTTCCATACAGTAGTTCATATATGTTTTGTTTCATGATATTGACTGGAATTCCTCACAATGTAACAGCTCTCTTGCCACTTCCTCCTCGTAGTTACCTCTTCTCTGTGTCCTTCCCTCCCATGCACTCCTGCCCCCTGAGCCGTCTCCCTGTGCAAACACTGTGCTTCTCTTCTCCCATGATTGATTGCTCTGAGGAGTGTATCTATCTGATATAAATGTTCAGCCCATATGCCTGTCTATTGTTTGGCTGGAAGCCACAGGAGTGAGTTCAATTCCAGACCTGAAGGGTAGCTAGGGGCCATAGTCTTAGGGGTCTCACAAGGCTTTATCAATTGAGCAAACCTGTTTTTTTTTTTTTTAAATGATTTTGAGTTTTGTTCCACATTGTTTTCCCACTCTCTCTAGGATATCCTGCACTGATTCCTCTCCAAGTGGCTGACAGTGGTAACTGGGCACCACCTAGTTCTTCTGGTCTCATGGTCATATAGACTGAGGATCACATGGTCTACCAGTCCCTTGGACTAATTGTTTCCATGTATCTTTGGTTTTCTTCATTCTTCTTTGCTCTGGACAAGGAGAGACCCATTTTTGCAACTGCACTTGCAAGCTTTTGAGATCCCAGTTGCTATTCACCAAAGTAGGATGTAGACCAATGTTTTTGTGTAGCATGTAATGCTAATTGAGCTTGATGTCCCCTGTGACCATGGTTCGGAGCCCACAGGTCCAACTACTTGCTCCCTTCATGTAGCTGGCTGTGGCCAAGACGTCACCACAACCTTGTCCCTTTTATCAGTAGAGCTAGAAGTAGTTTTGCCCTCTTCTGTAGCACTGGCCACCTCTCGGATGGAGGTTCTCTCTCTACCTGGGCTGGTGTCATCTGTGGGTGTGACTTCTCTCTCCCACTGGAAGTCCCGTAAGGGCAAGATTCATCCTGTATCACCTTCCTGTTCCACCCTCTGATCCCTCACTCAGCACTCAGATCCTAGCAGATGTGCACTGAATGATGGAAAGGATGAGGGTTGGGACATGCCTTCTGTCTGCACTGTACCAGCTAGAGGCAGTAGTTCTGATTATGGGCTCTGAGGCTAGGTTAACCAATTGCCACAGAGTCAACAGCAATTCGTAGTGCGCTCATGTGTGTCAGAGTGGAACTGTGCTCCACAGGGTTTCAACAACTGATTCATCAGAAACAGATCAGCAGGCCTTTCTTCTGAGGCACCTCTAGGTGGATTCAAACCTCCAACTTTTTGGTTAGCAGCCAAAGGTTTTGACCATTTGCACCACTCATGAACTCAGAGCCAGGTTAACAGAGCTCAAATTCTGACTCCTTGGACAGTCTGTAATCTTACAGTGATGTGGTTTCTTCACCTTTAAAGTGGGGATAGTAGTAGTAATGACCTTGTGGTAAGGAATAAGTGAGTTGATCCCTGTAACAACATTTTTAAAGTGCTGCCTCAAAGAAATTATCTCTATACACTCCTTGGAGAGATCAATCATGGGAGAATAGAAGGGCTATGTATGCACAGGGAGACAGCTCAGGGGGCAGGAGTGCATGGGAGGGAAGGATACAGGGTAGAGGTGGCTATGGGGAGGAAGTGGGAGGAGAGCTGTTGTGTTGTGGGAGATTACAGTCAATGTCATGAGACAAAGTGTATGTGACCTGCTGTATGGAAGATAAATTTGCTCTGTAAACTTTCATCCAAATTACAATAAAATTTAAAAAGAAAGAAATAAAGAAAGTATCTCCAATGTTGCTGTTATAAAAGGCAGGGCTTGGTCACCAAGGGTGCAACATTACACGTTACTGGCTAGTCAACTGCAGACTCAAATTTCATATTTCTAGACACTATGAGTCAGGTCCGAACAAGATTTTAATTCAGATAAAAAATTATGAATCTAGAAGAAATCTGTATTCAGATTTAACCTATCTTGGAGGAAAATGCTTATTGAGTAGAACCATTTTCCAACTTGTTTCAGGTAAATAGACAAGATTGATATCCACATAGCAAAATTTTCAGGGAACTTTCTGTGGTCCTACCTTTACCCCCACATTTTAGGAATTACTACATATGTTGCCATGAAATATGGGCAGCAGATCTTTAAGAAATTTAGAACCAAAGAACTTGATCACAGACATAGGGACAGGGGCCTGGAAATTGATGAGTAATAGAAAGCCATTTAAGTAGAACTCTCCATCATCTGGCATATTTTGAATTATCCATGACACCAGCCACAAAGGGCACCTCCCAGGGAAGTCCCATGCCTTCTTCTTTACCTTCAGTTTGAATGCTCCTAGGAGGTGGGGATGGTGTGTTGTCCCTTGGGGTCTGAGCTCATTCTAAGATGAACCTGAGAGTGTCTTCCAGTTGGACCCACCACCTGGAAACATTAACACCTATCCTGGAAGGATCATTGTGGTTGACAGTGTCAACACCCTACCCCAACCAAAAGCCTGGGGCTCTTTGAGCTTTACAACTCCAGGCACTGTTCTCTCAAGGTTCAAATTCTAGCTTCAAGGCATGCAATTTTCTTTATACTCAAAGAAACCACCTAAGTGTTCCCTGAAGGAATCCTCCATCTCTTCTCTGTGAAAAGTTGTGCTGTTGCTGTCTCATTAGGAACACTCAAAGAGCCATGACACTGATAATGGAGTCAGCTGGTGGTCCAAACAGCAAACTTAGTCTGGGGTGTAGCCCCTGTGAACCACTTTATGGCTTTGACTCCATTGTCACAGCTTGGCCTCTTGCCTGCCTGAATTTCACAGGCCCCCTTAGAGTGGCAGCTGGGCAGTTCACACTGGATGGGTAGAGAGTTTGTATTAATCCCAGTCATATTATTCCCCTGATTTAGGGGAAGGAAGAAGCAAGGGTATGAGTCTAAATGTGTTTTGAGAAGCCACATATGAGTGATACAGAAGGGAGATTTAAGATCAGGAAGCTAGAGTTGATATTTGTTCACCTTGGGAATGAGCTGTTAAGCTTTCCTGGGGAAATGTTTTTCTTTATTACTCTGCTGGTTCCCTGTCTACAAGATGATCCCAGTGCTCCAAGTGGGGCAACTCCACTGCTCAGGGCCCAGTATGGTCACACTTGCTGCAGGTCTTGCCCAGGCCTCAGGCCCTTATTAGTAACTGATTTCTTGCCTTAATTCTAGAAACCATGAGCTGTTTAAAGCTTCCCTCCCACCAAGTTTTAGCCCCAAATCTGAGAGACTATCTTCTTGTCTTATTTCTTCATTCTTTAAATCCTTCCTTGGTATACCTACTGTAACCCCATCTTTTAGAATTAGGGACTTATTTTGTTCTTTAGGGACTGGTGCATGTTTTGAACCTGCTAGGTGTTATCTAGGAGCTCTGGTGGCATAGTGCCTAAGGCATTTGACTGCTAACCAGAAGGCTGGCAGTTCAAACCCACCAGCCACTCCTCAGAAGGAAGATTGGGCAATCTACTTCTGTAGTGATACTGCTTTGGAAACCCAAGGAGGGATCACTATGAGTGGGATCTGATTCTATGGCAGTGAGTTTGGTTTTGGTTTTAGGTTTTATCTGCTGCTTACTAGACTGTTCACTGGCCACCAACTCCCCCAAGATTGTCCGCTCACCATTGCTTACTATTGAAACTCTTTGATGCTGACTGCTGGGACCTCAACAGAGAGTCTATGGTCAGACCTTACTTACCTCTCTAACCGAATCCCTGCACACTACCCAACACTGCACACTAACCCACTACCACCCACTGGTAGCCACCCTAATGCTTACTGACTGCATATGTGGACCTCTGCTGATTGAACACTACTGGACCTCCTTCAGCTCTGTTCTTCCCAGCTACCCAGCCTTGTTCTCATATCCCACTGCCCTTCTCCAATAGGGCAATGGATGGAGTATCATATGTCTCCAGGAGACAGGGCCCCAGACTTTTAATCATCGATTCTACCGTGTGATGACAAAAGTCTGCACAGCTGTCCAACTGCAAAGTTAACTTCAAATGTTATTAATTTTCTGGCAAGTGCAGATTCCATTTTCCAGTTCAAAAACATGCTTCTGCCTCTGTGTCCTTCCCTGACAACCCTATTTAAAATTTCAATTCTTACCCCCAAGGCTTCTTCCTGTTATCCTTAGCAATTTTACTATCATACTGAATATCTGGGTTGCTATGAGTCAGATCTGACTCGACCTTATCTTGCTACATCCAAGGCTGTTGGAAGCCTGCCCCTATCCAGCAGAGGGAATTCTCCTAGCCTGTCCCTCACAGCCCCTGGGAGCCTGGCTCAGGGACATTCTTGGCTCTCTCCATGGTGCAGCACTCACCTTTAACTTGTGCTCATGCTCCTTGTTGACGCGGGCGAGCAGCTGAGCTTTTCTTCTGTTGAGGGCGTCAATGAGGGCATCACATTGTGCCACTAGGCAAGCTTCAAACTCCACACTGTTCTCCTGCACAAGAGAGTACATCTCAGCTGCAAGGTGTCTGGGTGCCTCAGGCTACCAGCAAAAACAGAGCTCCTCCCCCAACTCCTCCCCTCCACTTGTAGTGTAGAAATTACTACTGAAGGGAATGAAAAGAAACCATCCAGAATGCACATTTAGCATTATGTTAAGAATAACGTGGAAAAATTTCATTCTATAGTGGCAGTGTTTTGCTTTACATTTGATAGAAAAGCATATATATTTATTACCTAATACATTTATTTTTATCTAAAGGAAATCACTTCCACAGTTCACATTAGATCAAGCAAAAGAAAGCTTTTGTTTATAGAGTTGGACATGAATCCTTTGATTTCTGGTACATGTCCAGTTATGTATGGTAGAAGATAGCATTTACAAAGTCAACCAGGAGAGAGTGGGGTATAGGTGAGGGATGAAAAAGAAAGGTGCCAGTAAATTCAGGGAAAGAAAGAGAGGAATGGCACAGATCTTCAATATTAAATAGCAATCCAATGACAACAGAAGTTTATAAGAACAATCAGGGCAAAAGTACTTGTTTGTATCATTAAGGACAATAGTGAATACTGGTTGGTTAAGAACAAGGGTGTATTTTATAGGCATCACCCTGCTATAAAAATCAGACATGACCTAACAGGTGGGGGAAAGGCAACCATGTACTAAATGATTTATAGCTTCCGTGTTATGTTTAAATTGAATGCTACATCTTAAATTTTTACTTGAATTAAATCTGTACATGCCATAGACATTTCTTTTAAGTAACTATCTCACTGTATTATAAGCATTAAAGGTAATCCTTTGAAGAGTTATATATGTAATTTTGATTCCTAAACCATAATCTGATTTTTTTTTTTTTGTAATTTATAGCAAATGAAAGCTGAATACTCACTGATGTAGCTATTGTCAGAAATTGAATTGTGATTGTGTCCCCCTAAAATTTGTGTCATCTTGGCTGGGCCATGATTCTCCGTGGTTTTTCAGTTATGTAATGATGTAAATTTGGCAGTTTTACAATGATATAATCACCACCCCCCATTACATGATCCGATATGATTAGCTAATAAGTTATAAGGGGATTCAGGTGGGATGCAACATCCTTACTTATGTCACAGCCTTGATCCAATGTAAAGGGAGTATCCCTGACAAGTGGCCTTTATAAGAGATAAAGGAGAGAGAAGCAGGCAGAGAAGGAGGGACTTGACTGCCACCAAGAAAGAAGAGCTGGGAGTGGAGTACATTCTTTGGACTCAGGGTTCCTGAGCTGTAAACTTCTTAGACCCAGAGGAAGATTGATGCCAAAACACACAGAGATCTCCAAAGATCGCCAGGCCCACAAATGTTCAAAGGAGGAAAGGCTTTTCCTCCAGGGCTGACATGAGAGAGAAAGCTTCCGCCTAGAGCTGGTGTTCTGAATTTGGAATTGTGGTATTTCTAAGACATTCATTTAGTGCTGCTATAACTGAAATACCACAAGGGAATGACTTTAATAAGCAGAAATTTATTTTCCAAAAGTTTAGGAGGCTAGAGCACCAGCTCTAAGGGAAGGTTTTCTCTTTTAGTCCATGTGTCTTGGCATCTATCTTACCCAATCTGTGCTTCCTTAATCTGCTCCTTTTATATTTTGTAAGAAACTGACTCTAGACAAACCCTATACTAATTTTGTCTCATTAACATAACAAATACAATTTAGTCCCAAATGGGATTATAACCACAGGCATAGAAGTTAGGATTCATAACACATATTTTGGGGGAACATAATTCAATGCATAACATTCCACCCAGACTGGACCCCTGAAATTCATGTCCTTTCCACCTTCAGAACACAACCACCCTATCATCAATCCCCAAAGTTTTAAATTAACTCCTAATCCAAAATCCATTTTCTGACATCTAAATCAAATATGGGTGAGACTTTAGGTGTATTCCAATCTGGGCAAAATCTCTCTTCATCTGTGTACCTGTGAAATCTAGAATATCTTTTTTCAAAGTACAGCGGAGGAACAGGCCCAAGGTAGACATTTATATTATAAACGGGAAAAACTGGAGGGAAAGAAGAGATAGTAGGCACCAAATGAGTCCAAAAGCCAACAGAACAATTTACATTAGCTCTCAAGGCTTAGAAATAATCCTCTGCTCTTTGAGACCATCTGGGCAAAGGCTCTGCCCTCCAGACTCTGGGTGTTAACACACCCTCTGGATTCTGATTGTAGGCCCTTCAGCCTTGGGCTTCAGCTCCATCTTCTAAGCCCACTGGGATGGTAACTCTGCTCACTTGGTTTTGGGCTGCCCCACTCTCCTAGTCCATCTGAGTGCTGACCCCACCCCCTCAGCCTTGGCAGGCTCCATTCTTCTGCCCCTTTAGGTGACAACCCCACTGCCTTGACACTCCTCAACAGCAGCCCCACACTCCAGCACTGAGATGGTGAAGATCTCCCTCTCTGAAACATAGGAGGCTGTGGTCCCACCCTTTGAAACTGAGAAGGCCCTGCTTCTTGTGCTCCTTCCAACAGTTCTGCTGATCTCTGAGCTCCTCCAGAGATGGTACTTTTCTTTTCTTGGAGGACAACAGATGTAGCTCCTTTGTGCTGTTTCCTGCCAGTAGAATTCCAAGAGGCAGACAGCATTCTTTCCTTTTATTCTTTCTCTGTCCCTTTCAGTCTAAGTTAATGGGTTTTCTGCTGTGGTGGTTAGTTAGATTGATCAGTCACAGGCTTAATCTTTTTAACAAATGATTGTGTAGCCATGTCCTTGTTGAAAATTCTAGGACATGTGTCATTTTGTACAACAGAATTTTCTAAATCTTTAAATTCTGCTTTCATTTTGCTCAGTTCATTTTTAAGTTCATCTCTTTCCTCTCATATTTTACTGTAAGCAGCCAGGGAAAATCACATGGCCCTTTTAGGATACTGCTTAGAAATCTCCTCAGCCAGATATACAAATTCATCACTTACAAATTCTACCCTCCACCAAACGTTTGAACATAATTCAAACAATTCATGCCATTGCATGAAAAGCATCACACTTCCTCTATTGTCCAATCACATGTTCATCATTTTCTTTTAAAGCCTTACGAGAAGCATATGTAATGTCCACATTTCTAGTAATATTTTGTTGCTGGTGACATATGTATTCTCTAAGATGATAGTGACTTTCTCTATAGCTCTCCTCACTTCCTTCTGAATTGTATTGGAAATTCATAGTTCTAGCAACAGTCTCTTCAAGGCAATCTAATCTTCTACTACTAGACACCTTAAAACTCTCCCAATAACAATGAATAAGTAAGACCTAAGAAGAGCTGTTGCTTTTGAATTGTGGTGTTGGTAAAGAATACTCAAAGTACCATGGACTGCCAGAAGAATGAACATATCTGTCCTGGAAGAAGTGCAGCCGGAATGCTCCTTGGAAGTGAGAATGGCCAGACTTTGTCTCACGTACTTTGGTCATGTTGTCAGAATGGACCATTCCTTGCAGAAGGATATCGTCAGGCAGGAACGTGGCGCCAGTCAGGCAGGTAAGAGATTGAACAGGAAGAAGCTACAAACAGGCCAACCCGGATGCAGCTTCCACCTGATTGGTTCCTGCCTTATTTTGAACCAGCACAAGTCCTCCCCCCTCCCTTAACGACTTTGCTAATAAGGTGCTTTCACCTGATTGGTTCCCGCCTTTTTCCCTCTGCTCCCACTCAGGTCTGCTATGCAACTATATAAACCAATCCCCCCTTCCAGCTGGCGCGACTTCTGGGGCCCATCTCAGGGACCCCCCGTGAACCTCCCCGGGAGCGCAGAATAAAAACTTCTCTTTAACCCCACTTTTGTGCATCCTCTTCTCTTTGCAACGACCTTACAGAGATCATGTTTGGTAAAATGGAGGGTAAGCAAAAAAGGGGAAGACCTTAAACAAGATGAATTGACATAGTGGCTGCAACGATGGGCTTAAGTATAGTGAGGATTGTGAGGATGGCACACGACTGAGCAGTGTTTTGTTCTGTTGTATATAGGATCACTGTGAGTCGCAGCCAACTCAGTGGCACCTAACAACAGTAACAACAACAGCCAACAGTCCCGTCAAGGCAATCTAATCTTCTACAGTTGTTGTTGTTGTTATGTGCCATCGAGTTGGACCCGACTCATAGCAACCCCTCCTTGGGTTTTCCAGGCAGTATCACTACAGAAGTAGATTGCCCCATCTTCCTTCGGAGGAGTGGCTGGTGGGTTTGAACCTCCAGCCTTCTGGTTAGCAGTCAAGTGACACCTTGAAACCCTCCCAGCCTCTACCTATTACCCAATTCCAAAACCCATCCACATTTTAGGTATCTGTTAGAGTGGCACCTGACTCTTCCAGTGCCAAATTCTGTTTCCGTTATCAAGTGCTGCTATAACAGAAATACCACAAGTGGATGGCTTTAACAAACAAATTTATTTCCTCATAGGAGACTTGAAGTCTGAATTCAGAGCATTTTCTCTGTTGGCTCTGGAGGAACGTTCTTGTCTCTTGAGCTTCTACTTCCTGGTTCCTTGGAGATCTCCATGTGTTTCACCAACTATGTTATCCATCTCTCCTCTCATTTGTTTAATATCTTTTATATCTCAAAAGAGATTGACTCAAGATAAACACTACAGTAATCATACCTCATTAACATAAAAAGGACAGTTCATTCCTAAATGAGATTATAACCACAGGTTAGGATTTACACATATTTTTGGGAACATAATTCAATCTGTAACACTCAGATATTAATAGCACTTAGGAGCTCTGGTAGCATAGTGCCTAAGGCACTTGACTGCTCACCAGAAGGCTGGCGGTTCAAACCCACCAGCCACTCCTCGGAAGGAAGGTTGGGCAATCCTACTTCCGTAGTGATACTGCCTCGGAAACCCAAGGAGGGGTCGCTATGAGTTGGGGCCGACTCGACGGCAAACAACAACAACAACAAAAAATAGCATGCAACTGAGTAAAAGGATAACTTTTTGGAACTGGCAATGAAAAGGGTAGGAATAGCATGGGCTATCCAATGTTCATTTATTCTTAAAGTCCTAAAGAATGACATTTCTTTATATGAGAATCCACTTGTAGGTATTTGGTATCTGCTCTCAAGTGCAAGTTCTTCTTGGTATATGGTATGTGTAAGTAATTGTTTAGCAACAGCTTCTACAAATGCTGTTCTGACTTAAACAACAATTGCTTTAGAGTTCTCAGAGAAATTCCTTTAGGAAACATCATTTATAATCTCTCTATGCCCAGTGCAGGGTAATTTTCTGTATGTGTGTGTGTGTTGGGATTGGGGTGTTCTTCCTTGTAAAAAAGTATTGCTAACTCTGTCAGTGACTTAGAGCAGAAAGAAAGCTCTGCTCTGATGAAGAGGCACAGCAGAGGCAAGCCTGGGGCTACACTTTTTATGCCAGAACAACCAAAGAAGGGGCTGATTGAAAAACTCTTGTTTAGGAAAGCAGAAGTAAGTCATTACTGTTAGGTTATTAGGGAATTGGTAGTTCTAGCATAGACATACATGCCAAAAGTAGGCAAAGAAATCAGTGTGTAATGCTTCAAAAGGCTGCCTTACATTTAGAGATCCATTTCTTCCTTGCAAGTGTTAAACATTAACTTAGAAAGCCAATTTACTAGATGCCAAAGCTAAGATTATTTCTGTGAGGCAAACCTTAAAATATAAGAATGGTCAACAGTGCAGAAGGTCGTTATTTTACCATCTCATGCAGTTTATGGCTTCTCCCCTTCAGCTGTAATTGGAAAATTTATGAGCTTTCAAATGCCGGTGGACCTGCCGGTCATTGTGTTCAGATGAAGCAATCTGAAATTATAGGCACTAGGGGATCTTGGCTGAAAAATATTTAAGTAGAAGGAGAAGTAATACTGTGGGACAGGGGAAAGAAAAAAAAAAAAAAAAAGAAGGAAGGAGAAGCAAGGAAAGAAGAAAAGAAAACATGATCTTTTTGTTAAGTTTAAATAACCAAACCAAACCAAACCAACTGTCGTAGAGTTGTATTCAACTCATAGCGACCCCTCCTTGGGTTTCCAAGGCAGCACAAAACAACAACAACACAACAACATCACTATGGAACTAGATCACCCAACCTTCCTTCAGAGGAGTGGCTGGTGGGTTTGAACCACCAGCCTTCTGGTTAGCAGTCAAATGCCCTAGGCACTATGCTACCAGAGCTCCTTAAGTTAAAATAAGATATAATTATTACAAGGCAGTTGGGGGAATTTATATAGTTTTAAAAACTCAAAAATAATGGCCATGAATTCATCAAGAGATGGACCTCTTTCTAAATACACAGCAGTAGTGTATTTGGACCTGAGTGTGGGAAGATAAGAACCACTTGGAAAATCAGGTTGTACTTCTGGCTTAATGTAACTACTTCACAAACCAAAAACTCATTCCCATTGAGTCAGTTTTGACTCCTAGGCACACTACAGGACAGAGTGGAACTGCCTGATAGGGTACCCAAGGCTATAACTCTTGACAGAAGTAGATTGCCACATCTTTCTCTTGTTGTTGTTGTTATGTGCCGTCGAGTTGGCCCCGACTTATAGCGACCTCTGCTTGGGTTTCCGAGGCAGTATCACTACGGAAGTAGATTGCCCAACCTTCCTTCCGAGGAGTGGCTGGTGGGTTTGAACCACCAGTTCTCTGGTTAGCAGTCAAGTGCCTTAGGCACTATGCTACCACATCTTTCTCTGGTGGGTTCAAACTGCCAGCCGTTTTTTTAGCAGCTGAGTGCTTTAACCCTTGAATCACCAGGGCTCCTTATCTTCCTAAAGAAGAGGTATATTTGAAGCTGGTCCCTGTGTGTGTTTGTATGTATTAGAAGACACAGAGCAGAAAAAACAAATAGGAACTTACCACCGCATAAAAATAAATAGAAGAAACAACTCCCCACCATACAATCACATGTTAACCCATGGGGTTGACTTTCTGCCTCACTCAGGTGATGCCGATACCTGAATCTGCTGGACCATGTTTCTCAGCTGCACCAGAAACTCCTTGGCTTCTTTGGCCCTGTCTGACAGTCCGTTCAGTGCCTGGGAGAGCTGGCTCTGCAAAGAGAAAGAAGGAAACCATGGCAGCTGTAATCACACAAAGCAGCAACAAGGCCACCCAGGGTTGTCTTCAGTGCAACAGGACCTGAGAAGCATCAACCTCCTCAGATTCCTCTTGTCTGAGCCTGGGTTATTTTAACTGACATCTGTACAAGGGAATTCTGATAACAGTAGTGTCCAGAATCCTACCACACTCCTGCATCCTGTGTAGTTTCTCCTCTGAAGTAGTGAAACCTTCTGGCCATTCCAGTTAAAGGCCCTCAACAGCCCATTATTTCCTGAATTCATTTTCAATAACTTATTTAATGCCTGTTACTTGTCAAAGATTAAAATAACAGCAACAAAACCAATGGGATTTAGATCATCTGATTACTATCAATATTATTTAGCCTAAAGGGCTGTCGGTCTAGGGTTAGGACAGAAAGAATAATCAAGAACAGGAGGAGTTAGAGTACCATGGTGTGGTTCTCTGAGGCCACTTAAATGCAGTGACAAAGGGCAGGATGATATTGTAGCTCTTCTCCATCTTCTTTCTTCTCCCAGATACAGCTCTGTTGCTCCCAGCTCCTATGAACTCCTAGCTTCCTAAACCAAGACTTGTCCTCTTCCTTATTTCACACTACTCATCTGTAAGAGGATCTTTTTTTGAGGGGGCAATGTATCCAGGGAAGCACTTGCTTTCCCAGCCTCCCTACATACTAGATAGAGTGGCCCTGAGATAAATTGCTGATCAATTAAGCCTAAATTTCTGGAGGAGGGTTATGAGAAATCCTTTGCTCTGCTCTTAACAGGGGACAAGTGTGGTTGGTGAACCCTCTTTCCTCTTGTTCCTGCCTTTGTTGCAGATGTGATGTCTGGATCTCCACTGCCATCTTATTGCTAGTATGAAGGCCAATTCAGTAAGGGTACTAAAACCAAGCCAAACTCACTGCTATCGAGTTGATTCCAACTCATAGTGACCCCCTTTGGGTTTCCAAGGTGGTAAATCTTTTCGGAAGTAGATTGCCCAGTCTTCCTTCTGTGGAGTGGCTGGTGGATTTGAACTGCCAATCTTCTGGTTAGCAGTCAAATGCCTTAAGCACTAAGTCACCAGAGCTCCTTTCAGTAAGGGTAGAGGGGTGGAAAGAGAAAGAGTTTGGGTCTCCATAGCATCTTTCAACAGCTGAACTAACACCTGAAGTCTCTATCAGTAGTCCTCTTGTTATGTGGAAAATATTAACCCCTTTTTAACTGGAGTTTTTTGTTACTTGTAGCCATTACTATCTTACCTGATACAAAGTTCCTACTCCTATCAGCCTTGGCATATCCTTCCACCTCTCCTATAAATTAAGAGACACACTTCTTTTCCCACATGCTTTCTTTGGAAACTAACCCATTCTCCTCCTTGCCAACACAATGCCTCACCCACCTTTTCTTTCAGTAAAATGACAGAATCTTAATGTTCTCTCTTTGATTCAGTGAATATCTTTTTTTCCTCTTCTATTTGTCTTATTATATAAAAAGTCTTAAAAATGTGCATTCCAAAATGCTTTGTGGGAGCAATGTGATATGGTCGAAAGAACACAAGCTTTGGAAATGAACTGAGCAGGGTTCAAATCCTAGCTCTGTCCCTTACTAAATGTGACCTTAAGAAAGTTACCTGTGACTGAGTTACTCCAACAGAAAAAGTGGGAACAATATCGAAACCTTCTTAGTTGGGTTGTTGTGAGGACTTAATGCATTAATGAATGTGAAAACTCCTATCATTAAAGGGTTGTGGTTAAGGAAATGACTCTGGATTCATGAAGACCAAGGTTAAGTTTCCAATGCTGCTAGTTACTGGTTGTTTAATCTTCTACACACAGTTTTACCTCATCTATAAAATGGAAATAAGAACACGACTCTTGGGTTTTATGGCATTGCATGAGATATATCTAAAGTACTATGAGCCCTGCTGGTGAATGGTGCATACTCAATTAATGTTGGTTGTCATTAGCTTTTATTCACTTTCTTCCTTCCCGTTCACAAACCCTGCTGATAACCTACTGCTGGAGATTTGCAGGACAGATTCCTACAACAGGGTGTGTGTTAGAGAATATCCTCGATTACTTGTATTGAAGTAATCTAGTTACTCAGGCTCTGAGAGATTATAGTGACACAGCTGAGTAAGAAAAAGCACTAAATGAGCCTCAAACTCACTGCTGTTGAGTCGGACCCGACTCATAGTGACCCCTCCTTGGGTTTTTGAGGTGATATCACTACAGAAATAGATTGCCCAGCTTCTGAGAAGTGGCTGGTGGGTATGAACTGCCAGAAACTCTTACTCAATTACTTATTACTGGGTCCCAGCTTCATCATAACTTGGGTAAAAGTTTTCTCCTTAGGAACTTTTTCCAAGAGCTCACAGGATGAAGGAAGAGAAGAGGGACTCACTTGGAACACCAAGCAACAAAATGAGAGACGTATTTTAAAAGCGAAAAAAATTTTCATTGTTACTTTAGAATTCATATCCCCTTTTTCTCTGAATGAATAACAGTTTAGTGGGCCACCAAAGTTTTTTTTCCTTTATATTATTACAATCTATGCCTTAGTAACCCCTCTTGGAGGTTTGAGTACAGAAGCTAAATTTGTTCAGCTTCATAGAACTGAAGCCATCTGTTCCAGCCTTGCAGTTAATTGTGTCTGTATAATTAAGTCAGGATGCTTATAAAGATGATTATATGTGGATGCTTATATGTGTCTGTATAACTAAGTCAAGATGCTCATAAAGATCTGTTGACCAGGTCCTGGTATATTAGAAAAGATTATTCAGCAGTAGACAAAGGGTGATGGCTTCATCCACTGTCAGGATTTTATGTGGCAAAACAATTAGTGACTGTAAAAATCAATTTATTTGCGATCTCCTCCCTTTGTGTGTATGTTCAGTCCCAAGAATGCCTTCTCTTGGCTAATGACTATTTCTGGTATTTGAAAAAAGCTGCGTCATAAGATGAAGATCTAGAAAACTTTCTCTTAAGCTCTGTCCACCTGTGGAAATTGAGCAGGAGACAATGAAAAAATCTTGGAAACCATTTATCATTAGAACATTCTCTCACTGTAAAGATTTATATGCACATAACTATTGTTAAGATAGCCTTTTGATCGCATTCTAAGCTATATCTGATGTAGAAGAAAATTATTATTGATTGATTTTGTTACCCAAAAGCATTTGAATTCCTGCTCTGTGCTAACAGAGATGTTCTGTATTCAGGACCACAGAACATCCCTGGAAATTTATGGCCAGAACACTGAAGATGCAAATATTTAGTGTCTATTTTCATTTCTGCATCTTTGGCTGTACATGTAGTCATTAGAAGAAGAAAGGCAAAGCTCTAAATGCTGCTTAAAATGCCTAAGCAATGACCTTTGGGTTTCTTGGCTATTTCTTTTTAATTTACTGAAAAGGTGTCATGACCAGAAGCTGAGTGGAAGGGGGAAATGATGCAGCTGCAAAAGCATCAGTCAAGTTGTTCTCTGCTGAGCATGCTCTGAATAACCAAGGACCCCCAGAAGCTGGCAAGCTGTGCCGAGCTTGATGGAGAGAAACAAAGAATGCTGCCTCTCCTTCCTTTCTTCTTCAGCCTCTGCCTTGACCCCAGCCTTCCTGGCCTCTCTCTCAAAGGACTGATGTCACAAGAGTTCAGGAGCTCAACCTGGGAGTGACTGTGGAGATGGTTTCAAAATCTGCTTTATAGGGAGGTTACCAAACATGTAAGGGATTCAGTCCATCTCAGCAAACTCCTGTGGGTCCCATGCATCCGTCAAAGCTGCTGAGCATGCCCAGAGAGAAGACTATGGCTCCTTCCCTTCCCCCACCGAAAACATTACTCGTGTGTATCATTTTTCCCTTGATATACTAGAATATTTAATGGAGACAAATTGAGACAAATAAAAGGAAGCTTCTGGTTGCCTAGAATCTGAAGGCAGGCATGAAACAGGTCAAAAAGGGTTAGCCAGAGAATTGGTACAAAACAGATGAGGTGGCAAACAAGCAGTGGCAGCTTGATGGCCCGGTAAATGACCGAGCTGCTTCCCCACGTGGGGCACTGTCCCACACTCCATCATAGTCCATGCTGGTCCCATGTTGCTGGGCAGCATGAGCCAAAGAAAAACCCACCCCATCTTCTTTTCAGGCACCAACGTAAATACGAAACATGGGAGGAAAGTGATACAATGTTGTTCTAAAGGGAAGGCCCCAGGAGAACATTTTTTCTTGAAGTAATACTGAATTTTAAGTCTCACTATATCATTGACTATTAAAAGGCAAAAGCAAGAGCAGAGACGACTCGACGGCACTTAACAACAACAACAACAACAAGAAATTATAATAGTTACCATACATTGGTATCGTCTCTGACTCATAGCGACCCCATGTACAACAGAATGAAACACTGCCCGGTCCTGGGCCAACCTCACGATCCTTGCTATACCTGAGCCCATCATTGCAGACACTGTGTCAGTCCATCTAGTTGAGGCCCTTCCCCTTTACCAAGCATGACATCCTTCTCCAGGAAATGGTCCCTTCTGACAACATGACCAAAGTAGGTGAGACAAAGTCTGGCCCTTCTCGCTTCCAAGAGCATTCCAGAACACTTAATTGTACTCAAGAGGAACCTGTACATAGACCAGGAGGCTATTGTTTGAACAGAACAAGGGGATACTGCATGGTTTAAAATCAGGAAGAGAGTGCATCAGGGTTGTATCCTTTCACCATACTTATTCAATCTGTATCCTGAGCAAATAATCCAAGAAGCCAGACTGTATGAAGAAGAACATGGCATCAGGATTGGAGGAAGGCTCATTAACAACCTGCAATACGCAGATGATACAACTTTGCTTGCAGAAAGTGAGGATGACTTGAAACACTTACTGATGAAGATTGAAGACTACAGTCTGCAGCATGGATTGTTGTTGTTGTTATGTGCCGTCGAATCGGACCTGACTCATAGCGACCCCTCCTTGGGTTTCTGAGGTGGTAT